ATATCTTAGATATAATTTTGTGACTTTCAATCTTTCCTTATTTTTCTATCCAAAGGTAATAAAGTCTCGCTTCCGCTAGTTGCACAACATTCACCTGCGTGATGTAAAAACGCTCTTACTACACTTGTAGGGTAAATAGCTATTAATTAATTATTGTATTTTAATAAAAAATATGATAAAACTACTAGCAGAATACCCGTCCTTCGTACGGGGTTAGCATATAAATATAAAATGCTTATTGCAGTTATACTCAACTAAAGCTTTGTGTTTGCAATTAGAATGGACTCATTTTAATAAAATTTGCTTCTTTAAATTTACGGTTCACTATAGTATTAAACATCTACCATAGCTATGTTCCACCACTTCACCACAAAAATTCACAAAATATAAAAAAGCATTCATAAAATTAAAAATATAAACATAATTGTAAACAATCCTACTTTGACAGTTATTATTGCATATCACAGTTTTTTTGTTGCTGCTTACCTAGTTAAAATTAGCTGTTTTCATAAATGCAAAAAAAAACTATAGTGCTGCACCCTGTTGGTAAATCTTTTAACCTTTAATGCTTTTGCATATCATAGAACCAACTTTTTTAGTTGAAACAGCTGACTAAATTTTTTAATTCCCTTTGAGTATGAATACTCATAAGGTTAACATGGGGAACTACAGAGCCACTGGGGCGGAGCCCGAAAGGATTTTTGAGATAAGAATATGCCTATATGTTAATCGGGAATGTGAGCTATCATCATGCCAAATTTCAGCCCAATCCGTCCAGTAGTTTATGCGTGATTGAACTTCAAACAAACAAACACACAAACTTTAACATTTATAATACAGTATTAGCATAGACAAAAAGAATTAAATATAGACCGTCAGCTGTGCTGCGGTTACCATAGGTTCTGGCGCACACCGCCTGGAGCACCACGGTAGTTACGGTGTACGCGCTACGTAAACTACAGCGGTGTGCGCCGGAACCTATGGTAACCATGGCAACCGCAGCACGGCTGACAGTCTATATTTCATTCTTTTTGTCTATGGTATTAGTAAGATAAGATAATTGTAGCAGGTGACCTCAATATTAGTGTTTTAGTATTGGATAGCAGACATAGATTGTTACAACAGATGTTAGAAAGAAAAAGCATGAGGTACCTTGTCGATTTCCCAACAAGAGTTCGGAGACAGCAATAGATAACTTTTTGATAAAAATATTAAATTATCTAACTTAAACTAGGTGAAACCCGTCGAAATCGACGGTTACTTTCCAGGCTTACGATAATTAATCTAACTGCGATAAATTGAGTGAAATTATACATATTTTGAGCATTTAGCATTGTTTGAATATTAATGAGTGTAAAAACAATAATGCCATTAATTGCGTTAGTTAGTAAATATTTTTGATCATTCCACGAATAAAATATTTCCCATACTGTACGTCATCGGAGTTGTGAGTATGCTATCTGGTATCTCTTCCTTTGGAAAAACCTTTAAATACCTAGTATTGAAATCGTTTTGGTGGATCTTTTGTAGTTAAACACTCCCGTGATTTCATCAGTGTTATGCAAATTAATCTATGATTTTATTTGAAAAAAAAAAAAATCTGTTTGTTGGGAAGACACGTTCTAACTTCAAAGGGAGGTACATCCGTTACAGTGCAAGTTTGATTTTTCCTTCGTCACGTCGCGTCAGTTCATATCGTACTTCTGTGCCAATGAATAACCCTCTAGCACAGTTTTAAGAAATTGGTTGTGAGGTTACTGTTAAAGCTGTCCTTGATATGGGGGATGTCAGTAAGTTGTCTCAGCCTTATCAGTTACATCAAGTTGTCAATATAATCTCTCTACGGAATGTTAGGTGTAGTTGAATATACTTTAAGTGAAGTTGGCTTTTATTCTTGAACTGTTAGGGGCCTCCTCATTCATATGCTAAAAATAATGTAAATTGGCTGTTACGTAAATATTGATGTTTACATGCATTGTTAATCAACGTATCTTATAAATGATGATGTGATCTAGTTTAAAAGGATGATCTTTCAGTCATGACAATAGCTGCTTAGATAGTATTTACTCATTGGGCCATTTTTACAGCTAAAATGTCGTGTTATTTTCAATAATGTTACCAACCCAGTGGGCCATGGTCCGTAATGTAGGCCACTGTGAAAAAATATAAGGAAAATAAGGTGTTAAAAAGGCAGACACCAACTCGTAAAATAGATTTAAAATGATCAATAAGAAATAATTGTAAGAGTTATTGTGATAAAAGGATTTTCCACTGATTTCGTAAAATAACTTTATATTGCAAAACATGACATGATACAAAAGACAATCAATTTTAAAATAAGAAAATAACATTGCAAATACTTCTTTTGGACAATTCAGTAACTCCCAATAAATGTGTGTTGTTTAAAATACAATTTTAAAATTACCAGCTGTTTTATTAAAAAGTATTATCCACCTGACCAAAATGTAAACAAATCTGTGGAGGGATCTTTAAAGGCTTCTGGGGCAGAGCCCTAGGCTAATTTACTTCGTTTTTCTTTTGATAACTCATCTACAGACCAAAGACCTTTCTTTGGACACCTCTACCAAGTTTCTACGCCCAGCCGTTCTCTCAAATTAGAGGAGGCAAAGTTTCCAATTAAATATTTTGATTCCCCCATGTTAATCTTATGGGAGAAAACCTAACTTTGATGGAAGATCCTGCCCAAACTAATAAAGATATCAAAAAACGAAAAACACTTTGCAAAACTACAGATCAGGGCAATTCTTTTGACACCTTAATCATCAAAATCGGTCCAAAAATGAGGGAGGAGTTCTGTTCACAAAAATCGGCTTAGCGTATTATATATATAGATGGTTGAAGGTCTGGTTACTTTCTTATCTGACCATGATGGACAGCTATTAAAAGTAAAATGCCAAAATTCTATGAAAACTGCAAATTTGCCAATTAAAAAAGAGTTGCGTAAATTTTCTCTAGAAGACACTAATCTTTTTACACAATTGCTTTCCAATGAATCTTGGTTCGATGTCTATAATTCCAGCGTGGAAACAAAGTATGATGTCTTTTTTTAAATTTTTTCTATCTATTTTGATCAGGCTTTTCCAAAAAAATTGGTTACAAAGAGAAATAAAAAACGTACATGGATAACTAAAGAAGATGAAGCAACAGCATATTATTCAACTGACTAAGGAATATCGTAGTAAAAAAAGTATTAGTTTAAAAGATTGTTTACACCAGGAAAAGATTACTTATAAAAGAGAATTAAATAAGGCTAAACACAGATATTTCAAAAAAAAAATTGGAAATTCCCAGAATATTCAGAAAACTGTCTGGAACATAATCAACTCTGAAGTTGGGGAAATAGTTACAAAATATGGTTGATCATTCAATGAATAAATAATATTTCCCTTACCTTTTTTTCTATTGGATTTATTATTACTACGTTAACTGGTTTCTCTTCTTTTGGATGAACCTTTAAATATTATTAAAATCGTATTGGTGGATTTTTTGTGGTAAATACTTCCGCAATTTCATCATTGTAATACAAATTAAATCTACGCTTTTCTTTTGAGGAAAAATATCTGTGTGTTGAGGCGGTGCGTAAGAACGTAAAATGTAGTAAGAACTTCAAAGGGAGTTTCCTTAATCACGTCAGTCATCATAGTGTACTTCTGTGCCAATGAAAATCCCTCAATGCATAGTTTTAAAAAAATGGTCGAAGAGTGGGGCCTTCAATTAATTTTAATGAGTACCTAGGTTTGCTGCTACAAGGAAGGTATTGAGGTGAGTTTTTATTGAAATTTTGATAGCTTAGTATAAAATAAAAAAATTGCCAAATTTCATTAAAATGTATCCATAAATAAGTAAACTACATTAGCTTAATAATTCTCCGTAAGAATAACATGGGCATTTTGAATTTAACGTTTTTTTTTTATTATCTCCGCAACCGTTAGGCATACAACAACACTTCAGTATACACATTTCAATATACAGTAAAATAACTAAAAAACCAACAGATTTTGTAAATAGAAGTTGTTGTTTTTATTAGAGGTTCCGTAAAGTGCTGTACCTAGCGGAGATATAGGGAACTAGAAGTAAGAGTTGTAGAATTCATTGATAGGTAGCGCTAGAGTCAAGCGGAAATGTCAAACGGAGATAGAGTTTTTATGTTTTATTTGTTTTAACAGGTTTGTTTATGTTTTTACGAAAGATTTGAAGATACGAACTTCAACAGATTAACATTTTTAAAGATCATAGCTTTATGAGTAAATTGACGTTCAATGCAATGTTCTACCTAGAATAGTTCTCGAGTTATAGGCGTTTTAGTAAACGGTGCCCCCCGCCATATTGCCCCCCTCCCCCATGGGATGTCGACCACGCTGGGGGGCGACAACATGCGTTTTCGTGATCACTATAGTGCCTATAACAACAATCAGAAATAAAATTGTGTCAGCCTTTCCATGCATACTCAAGCCCCTTCAGATCCTGGACTAATTATTTGTGTTGTTTAAAATACAATTTAAATATTTGTAGCGGTTTCATTAAAAAGTATTGAAAAATTATCCATATGGCCATAATGTTAACAAACCTGGGGAGGGAACTTTAAAGGTCACTGGGGCAGAGCCCCAAAGGGGATTTACGTTGTTTTTCTTTTGATGGCTCATTTAAAGACCAAGACCTTTATTTAGACACCTCTACCAAGCTTCTACACTCAACCGTTCTCTCAAATTAGCTGAGACAAAGTTTCCAATTAAATAAATAGATACCTCCATGTTAACCTTATGGGAGAAAACCCAAATTTGATGAGGATCCTGCCCAAACTAATAAAGATTTCAAAAAATGAAAACTACTTTGCAAAAGTACAAATCAAGGCCATTTTTTTGCTACTTGATCGTCTAAATCGGACTAAAAATGTGGGAGGAGTTCTGTTCACAAAAATAGTTCTGTTCACAAAAATCTGCCAGTCTATTATATATATATATATATATGGCTTTTTGCAGGTATTATGGAGCCTAAGACACTGGGTTGGGCAGATTATGTTGTCTTGGCCATTACTCTGTCCGTGTCTGCCTCTATTGGGATCTATTTTAGACTGACGGGTGGCCGGCAAAAAACAAACAAGGTAGAGAATAATACACTTATTGGACGAAACAAAGTCAAGTCCTCAGTATCAGGTTTAAAAAATGTCATGCAAAATCTTTGTTAATAAAAGGATTTTTATTACATTAAAAAATCTGATTCTTGTACCACGGATTTATTTTATTGATAGTTCTTTATAAACTATATTCCAACTAGTGGCTTGTAGGGGCAATAGCCCTATATTCTAGTCATTATTTTCTACAAATTATCCAAAGAAAAGCAGACCCATGTTAAGAGTACCTACCTACTTCTTGATTAGCCTATGATGAAAAAAAAATCTTGAATGGCGTATAGGTAGGGATCAGATATTTTCTGATCTGCATATTCATTCATGACATAAAGAGATCTCCATATTCATTGTCAAAATCCTTTTTCTTTAGTTTGCTAATGATATAAAACTTGTGGAATTTTCATCCCTCTATACAGGTACCTAGTCGTTAATGATGTTCTCAGCTAAGTTTTGTCCTAAGTCTAAAGATAATATGATGTTAATTCCACCAAGAATAAGTTGGTGAGAGAGGTCATGCTTAAAGAGGGTGTCCACAGGGTGGCGTCTTGTCACCTAATCTGTGGAACCTGGTGGTCGACAATCTCCTGTGCGATCTCAATGCAAGAAGACCATAAAGGTACCATTTACAAGGAAGAGAAATGTTGATATCGCTAGAGTACAAACTTTCTTCGGTAATCAGATCCAGGTTAAGAGGGAGTTCAAGTACCTAGGAATAAGGCTGGACGACAAGCTCACCTGGAACAGCCATTTGGCACATATAACGCAGCGCTCTCAGACCACACTTATGATGCTGAGACAAGCTGTTGGGAAGACCTGGGGTCTAAGCCCACAAATGACTAACTGGCTATACACTAGGGTAGCAAAAGACCGATGATGGTGTATGGCTCGGTGGTCTGGTGGACCAAGGTAATGCAAACTACTGCTGTAAAGAGACTAGAAAAGATCCAGCGAGTGGCATGCCTTAGCACTACAGGAGCCATGAGAGGCACTCCAACTACAGTCCTGGAAGTATTGCTAAGCCTGCCACCTCTCGGCATTATTATGAAAGGAGAGGCAAGGATGGCAGCCTACAGAATGGCTTGCAGTGGCAACTGGAAGTATAATGCCTCCAGTGAGCACAAAAGAATTGTGGACAAGGTGTAGATGAACACCTTGGAAATGCTACCAGACAGGATGGTGAAGATCACAGATCTAGAAAAACCAAGTTGACAGGTATGCCTGGGACAAGAGTGAACCTGAATACATGAAAAGGGGGATCACTTGGTACACGGATGGCTCAAAAAAGCCAACGGGCACGGGGGCTGGAATATATAGAGTCAGGCCGAAGGCGCAGTTTTGCGTAAGCCTCGGAAGAATGGCTACAGTATTCCAGGCAGAAGTTGTTGCCCTGTCTGAGTGTGCAAGAGTGTGTTTGAAGCGTGGTCTTACAGGCCACACTGTAGGCCTATACATGAACTCGTACAGCAAAGCAGCACTATTGGCACTTGACAGTTTTGACTTTTCCTCCAAGGCTGTATGGGACTGTCATCAGGCCATGAAAGCCCTGGGAATGAGCAACAGGATCATCCTTAGTTGGGTTCCAGGGCACAAAGGGGTATTGCTGGCAATGAGGGAGCTGACAAGTGGGCAAACAAAGGAGCTGAAAGCCCGCTCATGGGTCCAGAGCCGACGTGTGGCATTACTTACTGCACAGTGTTATGTAATATGATTTCTATTGTACTGTCAAATATTTCTTCAGCTGTTTTATTTAAGACTGTTTTTGTTTATGTATCCAATGTTTACAGTTTTGTATTAATTCTCTCAATTCAAATGTAGCTGATTTAAGTTGAATAAAACCATATAAATTTGGTTTCTAAACATTTCTTTTCATAACAATTTATTCAACTTAATCTTTTAACTATATTATTACAAGTTCTTCTATACAAGTTGTATTCTATCTTTTCTATTCAAGTTTATTCCAAGAAATCTAAATGGATAAATTCTTCAAGCCGGAGTGCCTATCTTTGGACACTAATGACCCGTCCATTCTGATCGTCAGTGGAAACATTGGAAAACCACTTTCAAGAATTTCATGGAAGAAATAAGTTATGTGCTGCAGAAGATGATCAACTAAAACTTCTAACTAGCTTTGTGGACTACAACATATAGGCTATGAAATAATCTCAGAGGCTGATTCTTATACCAAGGCTATATCTTTTCTTGACAAACTTTTTATAAAGCTTACTAATGAGGTATATTCACGTAATCAACTGGCAACTAGAAGACAGGAATCTGGAGAAAATCATTACGATTTTCATTAGCAGTGGTTCAATATGTTTAACCCTTAGAGTGCCAGGCGAGAAATAAAAGTAACGCTCAAAAAATGCCGATGATTTTTCTTGAAGGTCGCGCTAAAAATGCCAAGCGCGATCTGGCGATTTTTAGGTTAAAATTTCGTAAAAATCGAATTTTCGATATTTCGACCAACGAAAATCGATGTATTGCATCTAGTAACTTTCGACTCAATGTTAATATATGGGTTAAAAGAATCCGAGTATCCATTCGGTTGTTATGACAACTGTTCGATCATTACGAAACGTCCGGTCAGCCGGACGTTAGCACTTTTGGCTCGTTCTAAAAACGTCCGGTCGGCCGGACGTCGGCACTTTTGGCTCGTTTTAAAAACGTCCGGTTCCCCGGACGTTGGCACTCAAAGGGTTAAAGTTGCATGCTTTACTAAGTTCTTTGAGTTTTCGAAGATACTGACATCTCCCAACTTGGAGTATCAGCAGAGATTTAAATGTACAGAACTCTTTTCTTCACCCATTAACTTAACATAATTATTTTACACATGTTTCTTGTACTTGTCCAGGAGTATCTGTTAGGAGGCCAGGACCAAGGTATGTTACCAGTGGCCTTCTCTTTGATGGCTAGTTTCATGTCTTCCATCTCCCTGTTAGGAGTGTCAGCAGAAATCTACATGTACAGCACTCTCTTCTTTATCATCAACTTTGCGTACCTCTTGTGGACTCCAGTGGCCGCCTACCTCTACCTCCCAGTCTTCTATAAGCTGCAAGCCACCTCTGCTTATGAGGTATGACTTGTTTTTGTTTGGTTTGTGTTTTATTTTATTTACCAAATCCAGAAATATTAGATATGGTCCTTTATTGTGATAATTTTAATTGTTTCGGTAGTCGAGTGGAGTGGTTACAGTGTTGATGGTTTGATACTAAGCAATTGTTACCAGACATAGAAGCCAATTGTCATTGGGCCATCAAATGATGCTAACAAAAGTTCAATGTTGGATGAAAACCTAGACCAGAGTATTGACATTTCTATTGCAAAATTGTAAAAAATGCCAATAGTGTAGTTAACTACACAAAATTAAATCAACAAAATATATCTAGTTAAAAAAATACAGGTAGGCCTAGTGCAGTCAATAGTAAAAATGAGTTTGATTGCTCTTTGCAGTACTTGTACCTGAGGTTTGGCAGCAAGGCTCGTACCTGTGCCTCGCTCATGTACTCACTACAGATGGTGCTGTACATGGGTATTGTGGTGTATGCTCCAGCCATTGCATTAGAGGCTCTCACTGGACTCAATCAGAACATCTCCATCATACTGGTGGGAGCTGTGTGTATGTTCTACTGCACACTGGGAGGAATGAAGGCTGTCATATGGACAGATGTATTCCAGGTACGGTTTTAGATTTGTTAAAAAACATTTGACTTAAAAATACCCATATACAGAATAACATTTTTACTTTTAGACTGCTAAATAATAAAAACAGCTGATTTAAGTAATAGAAATATAATAATGTCAACACTAGCTTGCTGAGTGGACAAATGGAGAACTGATCGAGAGCTATTGAAAACTGAAAGAAAATTTGGAGCTAGAGAAAATTGGCTTATAGTTTTCCCTGGTTCTAAATTAGAGTGTGAGAATTAATTATATAGTTTATATCCGCTGTCATCAAATGTAGCTACTACTTTCTGTACGAGCGATGAACAGTCAATCTGACATAAATCACTTGACAATGAAATCTGCAAAAAATTAAATTTGTGTTTGCCAGCTGGCTTACAATAGGAAAATATTTTTTTCCTACAGTTACCTAACAATGTACATGTTCTCTCACTGATTTGAGAAAGCAAAATGGCCAATTCGCTCATCAGTGAGCAACAATGTCTCACATGTTAACACATGTTAACATTGTCTCACTCTAAATTACTTTGTCTCACTCACTCCAGATTTGCAACGTTAAGGCACGAAATAGTGAGCGCGTAACATGCAGACGAGGTCTCATGCGCGCGAAATACGTTGGCAGCTAGCACTGGTTGTAAATCAGCTGGTCAGCTGTTGTACTGTTGTATCATTAAATGTAATATTAAAAGTTCACTTCTGTGTAAAAAATATTTGTTTACCAATTTATTTGTTTTATGGTAACTGTAGGAAAAATATAATGTGCAACTCGAGTGCAAAGTGCAATTGCCTCACTCGAGAAATTATTCCTCACTCGCCTACGGCTCGTGAGTAAGTATTTCTCTCGAGTGAGTCAATTGCTCCCTTTGCTCACTGGTTGCACAAATAACTATTATATACAGTAGAACCTCTTTAATCCGCACCCCCGTAGTCCGAACGTCCACTAATTCAAACACCTAATTGCTGTACTTTATACACAGTACAGTAGTTCTTTATTGTATACTGTATTTTTTTATATATGCAACGTAATTGTTTCTATTAATGTACAGTACTGTTTATTCACTATGTTTACTACTGTATTAAATAAACACTGTATTTTACTTTATAAAGCATTTTTCACTTTTCCCGAAACAATTACGATCCATTTTAGCTATTGTTATGCAAGAACAACAATATGTTCTGTAATCCGAACTATTCACTACTCCGAACAACCCCCAGTCCCAATTAGTTCGGATTAAAGAAGTTCTACTGTGTGTGTTGTCAGCATTGCCATACTTGTGAAACTGAACTGATGATTATTGATGTGATAATGTTTCAGTCGCTGCTAATGTTCGCAGCAGTGATCAGCATAATCTTCACAGCAGCAAAGCAGAAAGGAGGTCTCAGTCAGATATGGGAGATTGCTGAGAAGGGAGACCGAATACAGTTTTTTAAGTAAGCATCAGCACCCAAATTTTTTTTGTTCTTTTAAGTTTTTGTTTTTTTCATGAGAAATGCTTGTTGCTTATTATATTTGTTTATATCAGCTGATTATAATAACATAATAATGATTTAAATACCTGATTCTGGCAATCCAATTGTTGTATTCCACAACTAGTTTCGACCTGCTAGGAGGTCATCTTGTTTCATATCAGCATAATTACAGCAGCGTTAATGAAAACTTGGAAATTGTACATAGGGTACAAGATAAGTTTAAAATTAACACCCTGGAAGAATTTCGAGATATATAGAGCCTTCAAATCTCAAATCAGATAAGGATAATGTTTTTAACGACCAACTTTATTTTAATTCAAACATTACCTACAACACCATAATAGAAATACTGGTGAGGGGAGGGGAGGGGAGAGACAATGTATCCTAAATTCCTACAGTCTAGACTAGACTCAACTTCCGCATTACCAACACCGGTCCGCTCTTCGTTTTAATTTTTAATTTTTTTTGTGTATGTGTGTAAAAAACTTTCAATCCTGATGACCTTCATGTGAAGTCATCATCCTTGTAAGCACCTGATGATGACCTCCTAGGTTGAAACTAGTTGTGGAATACAACAATTGGATTGCCAGGATCAGGTATTTAAACCCCTATCATTAGTTATTCTTTGCAATCCGGAGTTTTCCCATACGACAATGATTATATTTATAATAGTTAAAATCAAGCAGAGGTAACTGGATGAACTGTAAATTTTAAAAATATTCACTCTGAAATTTTGTAATTATTCGTTTGTTGCTCAAATAATTAGGAAAGTTATTGAAATGATCAGGGTACTTCCATGGTGTTCAATATCTCACCAACCTCCGAAGAAGTCTGAAGATGAAATATCGGTGTTGTGGTATACATATACGCCTGTGAACTTGTGGATTTCCACAGGTGAGCTAATTGAACTCAATACCTTAGACTGGTGAGTTGGTGGCTCAGTCTGTAGTGTAACTACTAATCCAAGATAGCCAAGTCATGGGTTTACATCTCAACGCCTACATAAATACATAGTTAATTCTTGTACCTTAGCAGCTCACCCCTTGATACGTTCAGCACACAAGTCCTATGTGGTCAGGCAAATCCACTACTACATAGATAAAATAATTGTTTCTGTAGGATAGTCCAGAGTCCAGTCTAACGTAGCCGATGTTTCAGCATCAACCCAGACCCTACCGTGAGGCTCACGTACTTTTCTCTGCTGATTGGTGGAGGCTTCACCTTCTTGTCTCTCTACGCTGTCAATCAGACGCAAGTACAGAGGTGAGTCAAGTACTGAAAGGAAGACATTTGATGGATATTTGTAGCAAGTATTTTTGTTAATAACAATCAGTTAATTCATTGTATATAATTAGAGAGGAGTTGAACTTTAAAATATAAACAAATCAAACACTTTGCAGTTTATTTAAAAATAAATTTTGCATTTGCTCATGCACCAGCAATACAAGAGGGGACCTAGCCATATTATTTGACCATGAGAGATTACAAGAATGCTGATAGATATGCATCCCATCCTGATGACTAAACAACTTCCAAAACCCCAATAATCTTGCATCTGGATCTGATATTCCATTCTCTGGCATCAAGCTAAAGAGACTATTAACCCATTGGGGAAGGAATTAATGCGCTACCTGCAGCACCCTCTGGCGGCAATTAATTTTACCGAATTTGTAGACTTTTACTCTAACTGCTAGAAAGAAAACCTTAGGCAATAAATTAATAATTCTTTCACCATTTTGTTCACAGTAAAATTGTCTACAGAAAAGTGGTAATTGGATAGTCAAAGTTCTTAACTAAAAAAAATATATATATAAAGATTATAAAAATAAAAATTTTTAAAACAATATTTTGAAAGTAAACTTGATATACAAATTCCAAGATTAATCCAGACACCAAATAACACTACTATTATAAAGTTCAATCAATTCCCTACGTAGAAAAATTAAAAGTTGTGTACTTTTATAAGTAATAACATTTTTTTAAATTGTTTGTTACCCTACCGCAGCTGATTTTTGGTGATATGTGGTTTCCATGGCAACACAAAATTGTTTGTTATTGTTTGTTATAAATGAGTAAATACGCAAATCAAGAAGCAAGATATTTATAAACATTATAATAGTAAGAAGAAACAAAAAGGGCGAAAAATAATAATAACTAAATAACTAATGGCGCTGCCTAGCGGTGACACAAGCGGCACTCATAAGTCGGCCGCCGGGCCTGCAGCGGCCGTACAAGTAACGCTCGTAAGTCGGCGCCAATGGGGACTGATCAAAGTCAAAAGAATAGATACACGACTAACTTATCCAAGAAAATATTAGCAGTCAGTTGATAACCTTTGACTATTGATACAACTAGACAACCCATCTGCATGTTAAAAGTTGTTGCCAGCTTTTTTATCAAAATTGTCGTAGTTGATATGAGCCACCAACAGATTGTGTTGATCTAAATTACTATTTTATATCCAATACACAAACCTTTTTACCAAGTCAAACTAATGGAGTGAATTATGTGAGCTATAGAACTTTTATGACCCATCAACTTGGTCTGAAACAAAAAATAAGATGTAAATAGGATTTTAAACATTAGCTAGATTCTCTGACTGGCTCACAGATTTATGTTCAATCAGAAATTGACGACAGCTCCATATAGATGCTATGATTACTTCAGTTTCCAATAGTCAATGATAGTACACAAATACAAAAACACAATTTATTTTATATGTAGCCCCACAAGGGTGTTTCTGCAGAAGGAGTAGAATGTTAGTAAAAAAAACTTTGAATCAATTGTTCACCTGTTCTATAATATTCTATAATGACTTATTTAGAGGTTACTCCAAAAATCTGGCAGAGCAGAAATCCTGTTGACAAATTTGCAAATTAGTTGACAAAATAGAATCCACTGTACTGACTAATGTATTTTTTACCTCGTTATATATTTGCTTGCTTCTCACTTCAGATACATGACCATGAAGGACTACAAAACAGCAGTGAGGTCCCTGTGGATCTCTACTCCAATACTCATCCTGTTGTCTGGATGCACTGCATTCTCTGGCCTGGCCATATACTCAAAGTACTACAACTGTGATCCTGTACTGTAAGTGGACGATCTTGCTTAGCTTCTGTTCTGTAAGGATTTATAACATATTGCTAAGAATAATCAAAAGATTACTGGTTTTATCCTAAGCATAAGAAATTAGACAATAACCGTTAATAGTAATTTTGTATTACACGAACATCAAGTCCGTAAGTTGGCAAAAGCATTAAATAAGAAGATAATGCATATCATGTACAGTTCAAAAACATCTTTCAGCTTTCTTCTTAAATCAGTTATATTATTAAACCAGAGAAGGGTTTCCTTCGAGAAAATCTGCTATTTGGAAAGTGCACAACAGTAAAGCATGCAAACTTTTTTTGCAGTTCAGGCCGCATCAGTAGCAGGGATCAGCTGATGCCGCTGTTTGTTGTGGAGACTATGGGAGATGTGACGGGACTGTCTGGTCTATTTGTGGCTGGTATCTTCTCTGCAGCTCTCAGCACAGTGTCTGCATGTCTCAACTCTCTGGCAGCCGTCACTCTAGAGGACTATATCAAGGTGAGTGGGTTGTTTTTAATTTTTAACAGTCCAATTCAGGTTTTTATGCGACCTTCTTTAACTTTTTAAATACATTGCATTTATCTTTTAACAAAAAAAGTACAAGTGTGTTAAGTGTGGATAATATTCAGGTGAGAATACGGAATATCACAATGTTTTGAAGTGTTTTCAATTTCATTTCATGGGATAATCTCTTGCATGTAAAGAGTTAAATATCAGATTTGAGGATTGATTCCTAAAACTCCAATTTGAATTCATCTTAATGTTGGGTTTCGACACATCACTAAAAGGAACAATTCTACTTCTGCTGCTGTCTCATGTCAGGTATGTTCCAGCCTCTCTACTTGTTGTGGTCAGGCCAAGAAGTACCAGCAGCCTACAGCGCTCAGTTGTCCAAGATGTTGGCTCTCACCTACGGAGTGATATGCATAGCAGTCGCGTTCCTCTCTCGTCTGCTGGGCGGAGTGCTGCAAGCATCCTTGTCCATCTTTGGCATGGTGGGAGGACCACTTCTGGCAATCTTCACACTCGGCATGTTTTGTCCTTGTGCTAATGAACCGGTAAGTGTTCTTGAGAGCAATGTTTGCAATCTTATGCAGTGTTGGTCTTTAGTATGCCCAAAGACTTTTCATGCTTTCACAAACCAGGTATAATTGACCTAAACACATGTTATTGATGTGAAGTTATCGTTGTAGTTTCAACAAGAAATTTGAAAGGTTGAATCCAATTTGAACAAGTTGATGAGAAATTTTGGTGGACTGGTGGCAAATGGCAGGTGCTGATGTCCATTGTCCACTCCGTTCTTCATTTCGGATGTGAGACACAAGCAGAGGTCCTCCGAAAGAAACAATTCAGAGGAATGATGGCAGCGGTATAAATAGAGGAATGGGACTCTTCAGATTGCTTTGATGTACTGCAATGTCAAAACCAGCTGAGTTTCTTGTTAGGAGTTAGATTCACACTAGAGCAAATTACACATGGACCCTGACAGTGCATGATGCATTCCAAAATTGTAAACTCATTTATGTTCTACTCACCTCATAATCTACTGTGTCTCTGATGTTGCAGGGTGCAGTCCTAGGTCTACTGGTAGGTTTAGTCTCTTCTCTACTCTTAGGGTTTGGAGGTCCGAAGCCTCCTCTACATACACTACCTCTCAGCACCGCTGGGTGTTCTACTAACCTCACCATCTACGCTGCATCTCCTGTTTTAGCTGCCACAGTCACCCCCACAAGCCAGTAAGTTTAATCTTTATCTCTTTTAATCACCAAAGGCCATGCGGTTGATTAAGAGTTTGTTTCAAGAGAGGGAAATTTGATTCCAGGGGCTAGTCAAATTTATAACCTAAATTAAAAGAAAAAAATGGCAATATTGGGTCAAACCTCATACGACAATTTGATGATGCCAACTACTCTAATACCCCAATGAATAAAAGCAGTTGAGTATTTATTTTTACATCCACACATACCATGATTTTTCAATGTTTTAGGCCAACGGAATACTTCTACCTGTACCGAGTGAGCTACTTGTACTACATTGTGATAAGTTTTGGTGTTGCAATGGTGGTAGGACTGGTAGTCAGCTGGTTAGCCTCAGCCTGTGGAAGACCCCCTGGGGAATTGAACCCTGATCTTTTTGTACCTCCTGTCGCAAAATATCTCAGACGCAAAAAACTTGAAAAAGACATGGTAAGGCACCTTGAGAATTTTTCTGTTGTTTTAACGTGTTAAATTGTTTAAGTTTGGTCAATATTTTATACTAACAAGCAGCGCTCGATTGGTGAAAAATGAGGCGCGGAACTGTAACCTATTTATTGTGATTTGTACCTATTTATGTACCTTTTAAATATTTTTATCTTCCCGATATAGAGGTAATGGAACTCCGTTTCACCGCGTTCCCCCACAAATCGAGTACTGCTAACAAGTGTATTCAAGACAATCCTGTTATTGCTTCAAGTTAAAACGTATCAAAAATCTTCCGGCAGTCACAACGAAATCAAGGTCATTTTCCATTATCTTGGTGAAAAGTCAATGTTGCTATTAATCAAACTTTATAGGGGGCAAGCTGGTCTAGTGGTAGAGCGCAGGACTTGGTCCCCAAGGTCCCAAGCTCAAATCTAGCCATTCCATTCAATAATGTTCTCAGTGATAATGCTCCTACTCTCTAGCACTAGCTTGAAGTCATGTGTACAACACTTTTGTGCTAGAGCCTTACTCTAAGATGAATATGGGGCATATAAAAAAGTAAACACTGTACATGATTTTGGTAAACATTATATGCGGAGTGTAAAAATTGTTAATAAAACATTCCCTTTTACCCCTACCTTAACACTATGTTTTCAAAAGTGTTATTTTTTCAGAAATCAAACAGAGAAGAGAAGAAGGAAGCAGAATATACATTCTCTGTGCATTTATGATCACATGATTCACCTGTTCATCAAGTCATTCCAAGATGTCTTCCATTTCTTTAGTTATACGACATGGTTGTGGTAGGGGGATTGTAGGATGAGAGAATTACAAAAGTTCAGAGTATGTGATTTATACTCCATTTGCTCAGAGTGCGGCTGGAGCTCTGCCCTACGTCCATGAGTAAGGCCGTACTTTGCATTTTTATCCTGTAACAGTTTTACTAACCTGTGATCTAAAAAATTGTTCCGAACATAAGGGCTATTGATATTGGTTCTGGTATTACCGTAACTCATGTGCAATTAGTGGCAGTGTTGTGCTAATACTGGTAATGGAATGAATTTAGTAATTTATTTTATTTTAATAATGACGCAGTTGAAATGAAAGTTGTTGATTGTACAAGTTGATTGAATGGGTAATTTAATTTGCAATATTGATGAAATTGTGTGATCGTGGTTCAATTGAAACGAGAAATTAGATAAGGTAATTTATGAATTTCCCATTGAACATGTAAAGTTTATTTGTACAAATGCATTTTTAAACTATTGGTCTTTGAGCTGAATACTGTTAATTTTAGTTAAATGTATTTATAGAAATGTAACTGTGTAATTCTTAGGTTATGTAAACAATTTTTAAGGAGTAGGTTTTTGTGTTATTGTTGTTACACAAATGTACTTAAATGAACAAAGGAACTTTAGTATTTTATTCACAACATGAAAGGGCCTCTATGCACAAGTATTTTATAGGCTAACATTGTAATTTTTTTTATTTTGTTATCAATGCATTTGAGTTTATAATAAATATATATTTTCGTACATCTCGTTATGAATTATAATCCATGCCTTTCCTTATCACACAGATAAATTACTCGTATTACGATTGCTTTTATACATAGAATGGAGACAACATTATTTTTGTTAACTTTTTTAGTTTTGGGTGAAAATATCCATTTTGGTTCCCCCTGAAACCGAAAAGATGGTTTTCAAAGGGACGTCTGTGTGTGGATGTGTACAAGAATTTTGACTAAACCTGTCCTAGTTTTATGAAACTTGGCTTATGAGTTGAGTACTAATGCATAATATATCCAGGCTATTATAATTATTTTAAATTTAAATTTTGTATAGTGATTTTTCCCATAAAAACCCTTAAATAAGAAAAAGTTCAATTTTTATAAAAAAGGCTAGAAAGATTTTGATTAAAATTTAGTATGTTATGGTAATTTGAACTCTAAACAGAATGGTACACACCCCATTTTGGTGCAAAAGTTATTGCAATTTTGTGATTTTCCCCATAAAAACCCATAGTTACTCCCTCTGGTTGCCGATTATGATGTTTTTCCTATTAAAACTAATTAGAAAGGTGTTCAATTTTAACATAAGGCTAATGGGAGAAAGAATGCGTTAGTTTGCTGATACAGGTTTTTGTTTTGCATATTCACTTATTCCCAACCACTCTTTATACTAACTAAAATATTTCCCCTAATATCACCTAAACAAGTGAACATTTTACAAGAATTTTGCAACATAATATTCAAAGATTTTCAAACTAGTGAGTGTTATTGCAAATAAACAAGATCATGTAAAATTCAAATGCAGACTTTCTTGTTAAAAAAACAAAAGAAATACAGAGAAAGTAGATCGTGTCTTGGTTTTAATAATTCACAAACGCAAAACGCTTGGAATATACAACCGGAGTACATCGTAACATTCTGTCCCGGGCGAGAAGGAAGAGAAATGTTTTATTATAGAGTAATATTTCCAACTCAGCTATGCCAGGCATTATACAGAAGCTCTTATCAATTTTAAATGTGTGTAGTATAGGGAGAATTTTGTATTGAAAAACATTTTCAAAACAACAATAATTGAAAATTGTAATTGAACTGTCAAATTTAAAGTATTAACCAGTTACAAATTATAACAAAAGAATCAATTTTTTTATCTTAACCATCCAAAATGAGTGATTTCCTAAAATACATACAAAATGTATTTACTTAGGAAATAACATTTATTGTCACTCAAAATACCTCGATTAAACTTCTCATGCCTTGTTGGATTTTAGTCTTAAAAAGACAAATTTGACCAAAAAGACTGGCTCTAGCTGACGTCTCAAACGTAAAACGTCAAACGACGTAAAATAACCTACATTGGGGAAAGAACCATTACCAGTAAGTTTATTTTAATTGAACTTTTAGTTTAAAACTGAAAGTATTAAACTTAGTGTAGTACAATTGTCTATAATATCACAGTTTACTACATGATATAAGAGTGATTAGATATGCTTCAATTCAGTTTAAAACTTTTGAGGGAATCTCTTGGTTCCCAAAATGTTCTGGTTTATGAAAAAAAATAAATACTGTAAAAGTATTGAGATTGTTTACTATTACTGATGCTATTTTAATTCATGTATACATATTGCACCTCATACTTTAGTGTTCTAAGTAGTAGCTTGCATTGAAACAATCTCGTAAATAATCTTTTATTGATTATACTCGGCAAAAAAAAAATATATTGAAGATTATGGAAAGGAATTTAGAGAATTGTGAGTTATTTAATAGACTATTGTAGCTTCATAAAATGTATGTTTTATGAATCAATAAAGTATGTTTTATGGAATCCATCCAACTTTATACATGAGGCTTCGCATCGCCTGCCAAATCCAAGATATATGTGTCATAACCAGCTTTATATAGCTGCATGCTCATAGCACCATTGGGATTTTAATTTATTTATGTCGTAAAATTCCATGACTTTTGTACTCAACGTTTATTCATACTATACTAAGGAAATCTTCCTGGTTCCCATATTTATTTTGATAAATTGTTCCTGCATCCCTTGTCATTTTTGAGAGGTTGGTGGACCTTGACACAAAATAACTATAAACATGTGTCTCAATAGCCTGTATGGAGAATACCTAGGAAAGCAAGGGGTAAGTTTGCGCAGGTACAAGACAAAATTAAACTGTACTGATTGATTCTGTATTTCACAGTCACACTAAAGATTTAGCCCCCGATTTAGCATGTGATTGTATGAAATATTCTATGAAACACTTAAATCTGCTGTTAATAATGGAGGGATTTTTACAAACAGTCAAAATTAAGTAGGTAATTTTGGAGTAGATGCCCCCTTTCACCAATTCCTGTAATAAAAGTCCTAGGGCTTTGCTCCACAGGCCATCAAAATCCCAATGTGTATTTCTTATGAAGAAAATTTACCAACCCAGCTGTTTAATAAATCTTACTTCAATAGTGGAATTTGTCAAGTGTCAAGATATTTTGTGTCATGTGTACATGTTGTCATGTCATGTGTAAAAACAAACAACACATGATTTAATATAAAACAATTATTGGGCTGGATACAAAACAAATAAATTTAGCATGACACCCACAGTAAATAAATATCAGAATTCAATAATACTACCTGTTGCTGAATTCGAGCAATTAATTGTGAAGCATTACAGGCGTTTTTTTGAACCGAATAACAGTCATAATTGCCAGTGACTTTATAAGAGTCGACTCAAAGATTATGGAAATACTCAAGATGTACACAGCAGTTAGATATAATCAAACATTTTTGTAAATATCTTATCTTTTTTCAAAAGCTGACCTGGTTTTTTAGTGTTTTCTACAAATTTTCCCCACTCATAGCCGCATTAAGTTGTCTATAATAACGATTATAAATGAAAGAAAAAAACAAACATTATTTCTATTTCTCCTACTGTACTTGGTTGTGTTCTATGACTTTCCTGTTTCCATTGTTTGCAAATCGGCTCTTTCAATTATTGCTCAAGAAATGTAGCACAGTGTTAATTCAGTTTTATTTTTAGTATATAAAATTGTCCAGTGTTTCTCACTTTTTTCCATTGTAATTTTAAAAATTACTCCAACCAAGTATCGTCTACTACAGATGCAATATGCCAAAGAATATCGTCTACGTGTAATCTCCAAGAAGTGGTAAAAAAGGCAGAAACCAACCCATACAATAGATATAAGTTAACACCATAAGAAATAATTTTAAGAGTTACTGTGATATTAGGATTTTCCACTGATTTGGTAATAGAACATTATATTGCAAAACATGGCACGATTCAGAAGAAAATCAATTTTAAAATCAGAAAAAAACCCATTGCAAATACTTAATTTTGACAAATTTAGAAAATCACAATTTAAATATTCACAGCTGTTTCATTCAAAAGTAGTGTAAATGTATGCATATGGTCGTAATGTAAACACATCTGAAGAGGGAACTTTAAAGGCCTCTGGGGCAGAGCCCCAAGGGAATTTACCTTGTTTCTCTTTTGATGGCTCATCTACAGACTAAGACCTCTCTTTAGAGACCCCTACCAAGTTTCTACGCCCAGCCTTTCTCTGTAATTAGCTGTGACAAAACCCCGTTTTTCCTCCATAAGAATAACATGGGATGGGAATTTCAAGGCCACTGGGGCAGAGCCCCAAAGGAATTTACCACGTTTCTCTTTTGATGGCTCATCTACAGACCAAGACCTTTCTTTAGAGACCCCTACCGAGTTTCTACACCCAGCCGTTCTCTCAAATTAGCTGTCACAAAGAAAAACAGTTTCAAATTAATATATAGACTAGTGGAACCCCGTCGAAATCGACGGTTAATCTTGAGGTTTTATGTAAATTTATTTTAATGTAAATCGCTAACTGCGATAGATAGAGTGAAGTCATGAAAATCTTAGTTAAATGAAGGGAGGATAAGCATAATAATAAGTATGACGATTGTGTTCCCTAAAAAACGTGATTGTTGAATTCGTTTAACACAATATTTCCTACCTTTTAATCGGCTTTAGGTTGCCCAAAAGGTTTTTTAGGAGTCTTTATAATTGTTTGTCCATGAGTTTGTTTCATGTCAAAGCCACTTTCACTATATGGGAGAATGAGTTCCTTCATATAATTAGTCTTTCATGTTACGGAAAGAGTCAATATTTATTACTAACAACTAATTAATTCCATCTGCTTTAGAAAAATCATTCAGATTGTATCCAGATTTATAAGTAAATCTTCATCTTTGGTCATAAAAATACAGAATTTTTTTAGCATTTAAATAAGTTTTTTTTTTTGTATTTGATAAAAATATCTGATTTTCCAGATAGCAGTAACATTCTTACTTCGATCTAAGGAATTTTAATTCCTTCTCTTGCCACATCGACCCATGTATTTAATCATCCTGTTCTTACTTGATAATTCATTAACTTATGGGGTAGTTTTGCCTGGCCATACCGACCACATAAAGCTGTGCATGTTTTCGTGGATGGAATGAACCATAATTGTAGGAAATTTGATCACAAATCTTGAACATTTGTGGAACCAAATCCATAACCTAGTCCAGCCTTGGTAACAAATTATGCAAATGCGATGAGATGTGATGACACTGTTGTGTTTCCGAATGTGTTGTATGTGTATGTAGTGAGGTTTAGATGCGTTTTTCGACCTAGCTACATGTGTACATCAAAGTAAAAACCCTGTAGGCCTACACATTTTTTTTAAATACCTGAATTGACATTAGTTCACCTACTTCACCAAAACCATAGATGAAACATACTCCGTAGTTAGTCTATTCCAAAACTTACACACAGCTCTCATCCTCAACGTAAGTTACTCATCTATGACACAATTTTCAACCCGATTATCGAAAACTTTCATACCAATAAATGAATTTCTGGTGTTCTTTCTTGAATTCAAAAATAAATGGTGATTGAAAGTAGGAAAAAAAAGGCAAGTGCCAACCTTACAATATATATAAGCTAACCCGATAAGGAATAATTATATGTTCCTTTGAAAATGATATGTCACACT